CACAATTTATTTTTCTCCCAGTGACACTGGCGAACATTCCATGGGACAACCATTGTGAAGAGCACCTCTGGGAACTTCTGACCCCTGCTCCGCATCTCCTTGACCACCCCGAGAGTTACTGACTTAGCCCTGCCCTTGGTAGCATGTTGGCTGGAGCCAAGCCTCCCCCAAAACATGTAAATGGCTCCTGGGGCATAGGCATACGGGAGAAAGAGCAACTTGCCAAGAGCTTGGCCCCCTGTGAGAACCTTCCCTTGGCCTCCATAATGGAATGGAGGAAAACACATCTTGCTAAGCAGTCCTGCTTGGTGTTCTTAGACTGAGCTCCTTACTGGGGGTGCAGATTCTGAGACCAGAATTCAAGGGCAAGGCGTTTATGTGAAAGGTGACACCAGGAAGCACCAGGAAGGGAGTGAGGAAGGAAGATGGGAAGAAAGGTGGGAGCTGGTGGCCCACCCACCAGGGATTCTGCTTCCCACAATCTTGCCGCCTGGGGTGGGCCAGGGCAAAAACTCCCACCCCGACTTTCCAGGGGCTGCCTCCAGGGGTGGTTGTGTCCTCTTTCCATTTTCATTTCTCTCTTTGCCTCTCCCTCTCCGGGTCTCTCTCTCTCTCTCTTCTCCTTTGTTTCATCTTTTATGACTCCTCCTTGCCATGGTGTCCCTCCAAGACAGACGGCTCTTTTCCAGATTTCAGAAGTGGGGGAGGGCAAGTGGGCAGGGCTGGCCACTCGTGAGACAGTCATTCGTCCGTTCATTCGATCACTCACGTTGCAAGTGGGTACCACAGCTCCCTGGCATCAGCTCTGTCCCGAGGGGGCCAGGCAGGGCGGGGCACTGACCACACAGGCCATGGGGCAGGAAAGCAGAGTCGCAGGGCAGATGCTGCACAGAGCCCAAGCTCGCCACAGAGCGCGGGAATCCCAGCTGGGCCACTTCCTGTGCCACTTTGGACAAGAACCTTGACCTTACCAGGTCTGCTGTGTGTGAATGATCTCAGAGGGTTTCTGAGAGTAAAGAAGATGAAGCGGGTAGAGCACTGAGTGGGACGCGTGGCACACAGTATGTGCTCAATGCTAACGGCTGTTCTTATGAGCTGAGTGGTGGCTCTGTGGGAGGAAGGGGCCTTCCACGTGTGAGAACATTCCACTCCCCCGCAGGGTGCAATCCCCAACCTCATTGGGGTTTGAGGCATTCTGAGCACGGCTGTGATGTCTCTGGCTTTGACATAGGTTGGTGGCAGGTGCCAGCATTCTTTCTCCGTAGACGAGGCAGCGGGAATCCACGCAGTTACCAGGACAGGGCGAGTCCTCTCAGGTAAACGGTGCCCCCCTTGGTTTTGCAGGTGGAGAAGGGAGCAGAACTTCGGTGAGCGCCGTGTCAGGGCCAGGCAATCTGTTGGGTATCTCATTGGCAGCCTCCTCACCCACTTCTTGAAGGTGTAGGGAGAGATGTTGGGGGTTTTATGACCCCATTTCACAGAAGAGAAACTGAGTCTCAAAAACACTGTACTACTGGAAGGGCAGGCTCTATTTCACCCAATGCCCATGTTCTTGCCCAGTTCTCTCTCCCTGCTTCAAGTGCCACCTTAGGGTTCATGGCCTCCCCTGGGAAGACTATGGCTACCTCTCCTTTTTTTTTTTTTTTTTTTTTTTTTTTTTTTTTTTTTTTTTTCTGTAGGGTGAATGTGTTTGCCGGAGAGAGAGACAGTGAGAAGGAAAGTGAGAAATCACATCCTCCTCCCCCAGGGAATCACTATGCTGAAATCCATTCTCCACTCTCCTGGGATTTTGAGCATGTGTGTGCATGCATCTAGTATGATTTTCAAGCTGCCTGATCTGAGACTCAAACCGCAATCAGCCGTGTGGGAGTCCAGTGCCTTAACCACTATGCCACCTGCTGGCCCTTGGCCACCTCCCATGTTTGAGCAAAAGACGAGGAACCCATGAGATTAGATTTGTGCACTTGCAGACTTCAGGGAGCTGGGAGCAGGAGATGCATCTTCTGAGAGAGCTCCCAGCGTGCCCACCTGGATTTCACCAGAGGTGCAACTTAGCTGCACCCAGAGATGCCCTGCTTGAGCCGGGCAGAAAGGAGAGGGTCTGGCCAGAGTCTGCCCACTGTACCTTTTGTCAGGAACAGCAGTCACTGACTCCCTTCATGACCTCCCCCAGCTCAGCGCGGGCACTGATGGCCACTGCCCCTGCAGTCTGGGGGACTCTGACCATAGCAAGTGGTAGAGAGTGGTGGGACAGGGAGCGGACAGGACGTCACTCACCTACAAAGTCACCCCCTCTTTAGCTCACTTTCGGTCCCCATCACAGGAAGAAGACAGTCTCAATCAGCGCAAATAGCCTTTCACACCCTCTCTCTGTTATTTGCTAATCTCCCTTTTTAACAAAGCGAGAATAGGCTTCAGGCTCACAGGTAATGCCACCTAATTAGAATCGCAGGGCGTACTGTGCTCATACTGTATTTATTTCTACCTTCTCTCTGGGACAGGTGATAATGAATTCTCATTGATGATCGTGAGATAACATTTTCTTTGACAATGTATTTATTTAAATGGAAAAGATAAGTAAGTCCATTTAGAAGAGCGT